CAAGCCCCTCTGCTCAGGGCAGTTTATGGGGCACACGTGGCCTGTGCCAGCCTGGCTGTGGGCAGTGAGCTGGGGCAGGGCCAGGGGAGCTGCGGGTGCTGCGGGCAGTGAGCTGGGGCCGGGGGTGCGACAAAAGGGCCAAGCACATTTTGGAGCAGGGCTCAGGACAGATGTGCTGGCAGATTCAGCCAAGCACTTGCAGCTCTGCAACCCTCTCACCACAAACTCGGTCTGCCAGGAATAGGCACACATAGGGCCAAAGCTGAAATGGCCATTGGGCTGGGGACAGGCTGCATGGCCCTGGGAAGGGGCAGCCAATATGTGGCACCTGTTAGCTGCCTGGACAAAGTGGTACATGTGAAGTAGGAATATGGGGTCTGCAGGGTTGAAGTGAAGGATCTGAAGAAGTCAGGGGTCCAGGAACTTCTCAGGGTCACCACAGGCCAATGACCTACTGGGATCCAGCATCAGCCTCTACCTTCACACTGTGGAGGTTCCCCGCTCCAGTCCCCCGTGGCCGTGCACTCGCGCCTTGTCGTCCCTGTGAGCTCAAAGCCGGTCTGGCAGGAGAAGGTGCACGTGGAGCCGAAGGAGAAATTGCCGTAGAGATGGGAACAAGCTGCGTCACCCATGGCAGGGGCAGCCACACTGGGACAACTGACGGCTGCAAGGGAAAGAAGCAAACATGAAGTTAGTGCATGGGAAACAGGATCAGACTGCTAGGACTAGAGCACTTAGGGGTCCATCAACTTTCCAGTGTCCCCACAGGCCAGTGACCTGCTGAGTTCCAGCATCAGCCTCTACCTTCACACCGTGGAGGTTCCCCGCTCCAGTCCCCCATGGCCGTGCACTCGCGCCTCGTCGTCCCTGTGAGCACAAAGCCGGTCTGGCAGGAGAAGGTGCACGTGGAGCCGAAGGAGAAGTTGCCGTGGAGGTGGGAACAGGCTGCGTCACCCATGGAGGGAGCGACCAGTGTTGGGCATTTGATGGCTGCAAGGGCAAAGAGGAACACATGAAGTAGGAGCTGGAAATGGGGACTTAGGGAGTCCAGGAGCACCCCAGTGTCACCACAGGCCAGTGACCTGCTGGGATCCAGCATCAGCCTCTACCTTCACACCATGGAGGTTCCCCGCTCCAGTCCCCCATGGCCGTGCACTCGCGCCTCGTCGTCCCCGTGAGCACAAAGCCGGTCTGGCAGGAGAAGGTGCACGTGGAGCCGAAGGAGAAGTTGCCGTGGAGGTGGGAACAGTCTGCGTCACCCATGGAGGGAGCGGCCAGTGTTGGGCATTTGATGGCTGCAAGGACAGAGAGGCACATGTGAAGTCAGTGCATGGGAAACAGGGTCAGACTACCGGGACTGGAGCACTTAGGCAGTCCAGTGACTTCTCAGTGTCCCCACAGGGCTATGACAAATTGAGGCCCAGCATCAGCCTCTACCTTCACATCTCGGGGGTTCCCCACTCCAGTCCCCTGTGGCCGTGCACTCGCGGCTCGTTGTCCCCATGAGCTCAAAGCCGGTCTGGCAGGAGAAGGTGCACGTGGAGCCGAAGGAGAAGTTTCCGTGGAGGTGGGAGCAGCTGAGCTCTCCCCAGTCTGGAGCGCTGAGCACCGGGCATGCGACAACTGCAATGGGCGAGCAGCACAAGGGTAGAGATTTTATTAAATCCAGGGATCATTTCCAGAATTACTTCTGATCCATTCCTAATAAAGCTCATTCCTACAGAAACACATACCTAGTTTGCCTTCCTAACCCAGATGCTGAAAGCGCAGCCTCTGTTGAACACTCCATCTGCTGCAGCAGTTTCTTTCACCAGACCCTTGGTGTCACTAGGGTCAGTTGCTGCCCTGCTAGAGCCTCACACATCTCCTGAACCCTGCAGATCAGAGCCCCTACAGCTACCACAGCCCTACTCACCTCCTTCCCCAGCCCCACAGGCATCAGCATCCTCCCTCACCTGCGTCCATTCTCACCACAGTGGCAGGAGGAAAGACCTCCCATGGCTTTGGTGCCATATGGGGCCACTGCCTGATGTTGATAGCTGCCACAGAGTACCTGAAATGGCAGCAACCAGACCCAGTGCAAAGTGCACGAGCACAGTGGGAACAGGGACGCCTCCTTCCTGGCAGAGCCCGGGGTACCCACAGCAGGATCTTTCTCTTATTCTTGGACTAAAACCAACTGGAAATTTTAGAGCAACTTTGTTACTGTCAGGGGCAACTTGACTGACTCGCTTTATTCTTTGGAAAAAAAAATATTTAGATATTTAAGCCCAACAGGAAAAAACAGGCTAACTCTGTTTGGGAAAACCCAAAACTTTGGGACATTGAAAAGCCTGCCGTGGGAAGGGTCAGAGCCAGGTGTTGGATAGCGCAGACGGGGACTTCCACCATGGCTGGAGGCTGCTCCTATCCTGCCGGGGCCGGGCTGCTGAGCAGGACGGCTGCAGCAGCGCTCTGTGCCTCGGTTTCCCTTCGCTGCAGGAAGACGAGCTGCTGGGAGCCTGAGAAAGGCAGCCCTGGGTTGGACCTCTGCATCCCGTGCCTGCACTGGGTCTTGGCTCGCCGCCCCGTGTTGTGCTGGGGCCTGGCTCGCTGCCCCACGCCTGCGCTGGGCCTTGGCTCGCCCCGTGCTGGCACAAGGGCAGAGGGAGCGGAGCCCCCGGCCTCGCGGCTCCGTGAGGCTGGGCACAGCTCTGGGTGCAGGTCGTGGCGCAGCCCCGCAGGCGCCGGCAGGAAGGCGCTCTGCCCCTGCTGCACAACATGCCCCCACTCTCTGCTGCGGCTTTCTCCTCGAGCGCCGGTTCCTGCCTCGGTCCGTCCCTTCCAACTTATCTAACCTCATCTGACCACAGCCCCCTTGTGCTATCTGCTGCCCAGGGCTGCCAGGATACACCCTTCCTCCGGCTGCCTGATGTCGCTGTCTCCTCTTGAGGCCCAAAGATGCCCCCAGCAGCGCAGGGTGCCACGCGAGGTGCCGCTCACGCAGCGGCTGCGTTGGGCCCTCACCATTCTCGCAGTCGCGGCCGTGGAATCCGGGCTGGCACTCGCAGCTGTAGTTCCCGATGGTCTCCACGCACTCGCCACGCTGGCTGCAGGGGAAGGGCTCGCAGGAGGCTGCAGGCACACACAGCTTGAGGAGCTGCCCGGGCCCTGCTCAGCAGTGCCCCGGAGCCACCTCCAGCCCAAGGTGTCACACGCACCGTGCTGGTCCCCAGGATGGGCACAGCGGTGGCAGGAACGGCCCCTGAGCCCCAACAGGAACTCACAAGTCCTGCAGCGCCCTCCCCACCACCAGCCCGGTGCCCCGGCCACCCGTCCCACCATGGCCCCTGGGCATCACCCTCATAGCACAGTGCCCGTTTCTTCTTGCTGCAGGGCTCGTCGTTCCACTTCCCTGACTCCCGTTGCCTCTTGATGTAGATCTCCACACAGTCCTGGTTGGAGCGCTTGTTGTTTGGCTCCTTTTCGGCCCAGTTCTCAGCCTCCTTCGTCAGCGCCTTCCTGGTGCCCACCCAGGTCCATGTTTCGTTCAGCTTGCGAATGCCGATCCAGTAGTACCGTGGGTGGAAGGGCAGCCATTCATTGAGGTACTCGATTTCCTTCTTGTTCTGGATGGCCACGAGGTCTGTGAAGTAGGTCTGGCAGTAGCTCCTCGCCTGGTCCCACGCATAGTCCTTCTGCTCCGAGTAACTGTACATCCAGGCTCCCGCCTGCATCTGCGCCACGAGGCCTACAGCAAAGGAGAGCGGTGCCACCGTGCCACTCATGTGGCCAAGTGACCAGCAGAGCGGGACGCAGAAGTGCAAAAGCCTTTGGCTCCTAACTAAGGGGCTAGCTGTTAATGTGCATAAGAGAGAGTCTAAAGGGTTTTGTAAAACTCAGTGTTGCAAAACAAAAGCTTGCAAAAGTGAAGTTCACATGCTGGTCATGCCTCCCTGAGAGGGCAAAGCCAAAGATTAACTGGAACCCACACCCAGAAATGGTGGGGATATATCTGAAACGCTGCTTCTAGTTACAAGATTTCTCACCACAACTTGATGCAATCACAAGTTTTTAGCCACAAAAAAAAAAAAAAACTTCCTCCCTCCTCCTTGTAATCAGGTATTTCCATAACTGCAGAAAACTATCTGAAATAAATAAGAAGATCGCCGTTCACTACATGCAATCAGCCTGGGTTACACCTCTCTCAAGAGAACATATCACATCCTTTTCTCATGGAGGCAAAGGTCTGGGCATTGTAGATTAAATGCAAATTCAGAGCTTCCCAGGTCCATCTGGGCTCATAAGGAAACAATAATGCAACAAAAATTTCCATAATTGGGCTATTTTCCCCTCATAGAAGATCAAACTATTCATTTTGTTATCTATTTTGTTATCCATTTTGCCTTCTATTCCCCTCTGCTTCTTCTCCCCAGCCTTATATTAACTCTCCCTGTCCCACCTGGAGCTGGGAACCTCACACCTGGGTGCTGTTTGCCTGGATTTTGACCCTTGTGCTCTTCTAGGCTGCCCTACCATCCCTCCTGCCCTTACAGTGCTTGAGAGCATCTGCATTTCCCTCAGACCTAAGTATCAGTCTCCTCTTGATATTACCTCTGTTCCTTGGATGTATCACCAAAGGTCACTCAAAAAATAGCCCAGATTGCTCAGGATCTAAGCCCGATATCTCTAGGGAAAGTGCAGTTGTTCTTGCTCTGCACGGTGCCCATGTGTGAGAGAAAGCCAATCTCACAGGCAACCGACCCAGCTTTCCCCAAAATAACAGCAATTCCTTTTCCTCATTTCTCCCGTTCTCCCTGAGACCCAGTGCTTCTCCTGACGTGAACGAACAGCTTTAATTCAGTCCGACCCACACGCCTGTGGGTCGGGCTGGCTGTGCTCGAGCTGGTCTCTCCAGCGCGGCGCCAGCAGGAGAGCTGCCCGGGAGGCTGGCGGCACCCCGAAATGAGCATGGCCCTTTGCCACCTCCCCGGAGGTGCAGATCGTGCCCAGCAGAGCCCGCGGCGGGCGCTTACCCCATGTAGCCGCAGTGATGCCCAGGTAGCAGACGCCAAGAGAGGCAAGAGCCCACGGCCT